GACAGCAGAAGGACAAGGTCAACATTTGAGATTGTAGTTTATTAAGAACTATACTTGCATGGAAGAAACTCACCTGATAGTGAGCTAGTAAATCCATATATCTACGGATGGGAGATGTAAACTGAACATAACCCGGAAGTCCTAAAATTCCATGGCGTATAGGTTTCCTGAAATCAATTTCAGCAGCACGCATTAGTTTAACAAGAGCAGAGCTTCTAACAGGTCCTTCTGGAAGATGTGAAAATGCAGATGTGTCGATGTTGGATTGGGGCTGTCCTCTGTAGGGTAAAGGAATGTTATTGCTAGAACCAAATGTGGCCACAACTTCTCCACAGAGTATCATCATCTCAGTGACAAGTCGCATTGCAGGGTCTGCCTGGTTTTCAACATACAGATTAATAATAGGCTCTGGATCCTCTGGATTAACCACTTTGATACGTGCTTCCAATGTGGCTGTGTCAATTGCACCCTGAAAAACGAGCATAAGTTATAGTCACAGAAGAATTTTGGAGGGTTACTGATTAATCATGCCTACAAACCCCCTTTTTTTTTTTTGAAACCTTAGATCAACATTTCCTATTAAAAAATGTAAATACTTGCTTGTTTTATGAATGAAATTGTTATGACAAGGGTTTGGATTTTTTCGATCTTTCATGATCTTAAGGATTTTGCACACAGCAGGATCCATATCAATAGTAGAATATAGGGTCCAGGTTATGGATAGTACAACCACGAAAATAATTGTCGACTAACAGGATCACGAGGCACCAAAGAAAGCTACTGGAACTTTGAATCATACAACCATGAACGTTTCAGAATTAATTTTGGTCTAATTAATTAACTCCAACCTGTTGGCGACGCCATATTGAACGAAGAGTTGCAGCCTCAGACAGGATTTTCAGTTCAGTCTCTTCTTCCAGGTTTAAATGAAGAAGCTCCGATGCACTCTCATACGTCAACATGTAAGTTGGTCTAATGATTGAGTTGTCCACCGAATATTCTGCAATACTATTGAACCACACAGAGAGTAAAATAGAGTTCATTAGTAAAATTTGGTTGGAAAGGAGAAAACTAACCTTTGAGTTAGCAAAAGCTAAAATGCTTCAAAGAAATATCCACCCCACTTGTTCTAGATGATTATATAATCTTTGAATCATAGTCTGTAGAATTATCTTATTTGGAGAAAATTAACCTTTAAGTTAGCAAAAGCTAAAATGCTTCAAAGAAATGCCCACAACATTCTGTTGTGATGCCCCCTCTTTCAGTTAGAATGATCTTGTTTTAAGCCACAATGATTTAATTATTTCAGTCTGTAGAATAGAATAATATGGAATCATTTTAATTCAAAAATCTATCTAACCCCACCACCTTCAAAACCAAGATAATTCTGAATTCATAATATAAAAATCTAGGAGGGAAGTAATGGTCTACAAGCCCTAAAAAAGGGTATTACAGCTCTGTGTAACTCCATTAAACTATAAAACAGCACCGATTCAGATGAGATCTCAAAGGGGGGACCAAACATAAAAAGAAAAAAATTGTTTTACCTGCCATCAGAATGCAGCACAACAGATACTGTAACCGCATTGCAATTCTCTCCTTGTTGCAAACTCATTCCCTCCATGGCAAGTTTCTCTGGGAACATAGGATAAGTGGCAGTGGGCAAGAAAACAGAAGTTCCTCTTCTCATTGCTTCCCTATACATCATGAATTTATCAGAAAAGAGTGAAACATAAACACGTATCAATATGGCTTGTAGTGTTCCACAAGCTACCTGTCTACTATGCTCCCGGGTTGAACAAACCTAGTTGCATCTGCAACATGAATCCATATTTTAATGCGTCCATCTTGCAGCCTCGTTGCACTCAGAGCATCATCAAGCTAACATGTTACAATTAAAAATTTCATATGAAGAGCTATCAAATTTTGATGAAGCAAAAATTTACAGTTTTGACAGCAGAAGATAACACCACTAGGCATGTGTAAAACATACCTCATCAGCCTCGTCCACATCAATAGCATAGACCTTCAAGTGAGTGAGATCTTTCCTTTCAATCTAAAACAAGAACATTTGCAGAATTTTTGTAAGGTTTTTTAACTAAATTTTGCCCTGTATGTACTATAAATACAGGAAGCAGGCTAACCTTATACTTTCATTTTTATAGACGTGTGTCTCTCTAATTTTTCATATAAAACCTTAAAAGTTTCATTACAACAATAATACAAGGTTTCCTATAAAATAAAGGATGCAAGCCGAAATCTTAATACTGCATCACATCTTGCCCCATGAGTATAACTATATTCATAATAGAGCAGGCTAACCTCATCTGGATCATATGAATCTGACAGAAGACTTTCTGCAGCTGATATAACTTCATCTGAGTGATCAGTACGGATATTGAACTTCAACAGGTCAAGATTCACATGTACAGGAAAATACCCAATATTTATGAGGAGATTTAGAGCTGATGATGCTGTTTTCACCATCCCCATTGCCCTTAGGATCTGACAAGAAGGTATGTACAAAAGGATAAAACAAATTAGGAACAAAGCTGATATGCATGTATGAATATGATGTATCACACAAAGAGAAATAGGGCATAACATCATCAATAATATCTTCTCTTACGATGAGCCATACATTTTTGGAGCTTAGAAGTACCAATTATCACAGTAAACTTAAACACTATCATTTAAGTCAGACTTGGTTACCATTCCAGCCGTTTTCCTTTGGTCATCATTTGTGCATGCATCAATAGCATAAGATTCAAGAGACTTAATTTTCTGTCTGATTTTCTCTTCAACCATCCAAGAAGATTTGGGAGGTTTAGCATCTAAAGGCATTGCCTTAGCAGATTTCAGTAATTGTACAAACTCCTGCAGTTCTTTCTCAGCAGCCTCCTTTGCGAGCTTCCTACGGAGAAGTTCCTCAACCTAGTTTCTCAAACAAAAAAATTTCACGTCAAAATTATTGGAAAAGCAAGGAGGCAATCAAGATGAAGGCTATCATGGATTACTCAACTTACTAATCAAACTTGCATTAACTTCTAATACATGTCAAGAATATCTTTTCTTTCTTTTTCTTATATATATATATGTGTGAAGATGCCTAAACAGTAAAACAATTTTTAAAAAAAAATTTAGAGTGGTAAGTCCTATTAGTATCTGCCAACATACAACCCAAACCATCTTACGCCGATCAACTTCAATGTACCAACAGACTACAAAAATTTCAATTATCATAAATTTTCTTCACCATCTAATACAAAACTATCAATATAGAGTGGAATTAACATCATCTGAGGAGAATCACTCTTCCTTCAAACATAATATCCTTTCTTGAAACACATCTCCACATTAGGAGCCATAAAGATAAGCAATTTCAAACAAGGCAAGCCAACTGTAAGAAGAGAAGATGTTAAACCAAAGCATTGCTGTACCTGCACAGCAGGTCGAGGTCCATATATAGAGCGAGAACCTTTTGTCTCTAGCACAGTGAAGTATACTTCATCTTCTGAAAGCATCACATGAGCACAGTAGCATTCAAGAGGCTCCACACTACCAAAGATCATCTGTGGAATGAGCTAGGATCATTGAAGAAACAGCCATACATATATATTTAACTTGAAAAGTATAGTACCTCAGCTAATTCTTCTGCCGTCACACGCTTATTCTTTTCGAGGAGTTCAACCCAAGCAAATTCTAGAAGTGCTGAGTCCTGCACCAGATTAAAAAAAATATTCTTTACCAAAAAACACAAACCACCAGAATAGAAAAAGAAAATTCATATCTGCGACTATTTTTGGGCAAGAACCAACCGAGTTTTCCTGAGCTCTCTGAACAAACTTTGAAATCTCTGCGTGGTCGAAATTTTCAACACCAGGAACAATATATGTGATTTGTTGTGGTTTAATGGATGATGTAACACCATTCTGACATAGCATAAGAACAACCACCATAAAAATAAAAATGTTAGACTAGCAGGAAAACAATAACATCCCGTGCATAGTTTTTATTATTATTTTATAAGCCGCATTAGTTGTTTTTCTAGTAGAACCTGATCAGAAACCATCCAATTCTTCTTGCCATCGGGTCTCTGGGCAACAGCAAGCAATACTCTCTCTGAATCCTTCTTGAACTCGAGCAGCAACCCTTGCTGTAGCGTTCGGTTCACAAGCTTATCTTCTGCAATCCCCCCACTGCTTGTCAACTCCACCCTGCAAAATAGTTACTAAATAATCTCATTATACTTGCATTATATATATGCCTTTTTTCTTTCTCAGCAACCAAACAGCGCATAAATTACATTAATTTAAGTCTCTAAATTCGTAATTAAGGATAATTAAATTTTTTTTCGAAGAAATGTCATTCCGAGAGGGGAGTGAGAGGGAAGCTACTTGGCGGCAGAGCGAACTCGTCTCCGTCGGCGCAAGGCACCGAGCTCTTCCATGACGCTGTCGACGAGGCTGTGAACGGAGCTGCTTTGAAGGCCGCCATGGCCAGGAACTAACTTATCGGATCGAAATATTGGGAAGCGAATGCTAAATTGGGAGAAGCGGCGACTGAAGTGGCATGGGCAGCAGCGGAAGGCGAAGAGAGTAGGGGACGAAGAGGAAGTGGAAGCGGAGCGAAAGATTGAGCAGCCGCTGACGGCTCGAACCGCCATCACCGTCCAGCGAACGAAATGAAAGGTTTAGGGAAATGGGAGGGAGAGTTTTTGTTACTCTGCTTGTTTGTTGATAATGGCTATCCTGTGACTGCGAAAGCTTGTTTTCTAACACCCGCCCTTTTCTTTTTTGTCACGCACAATATGTAACGAAATTTTTATTTATTTTTTGTCATTAATTTAGAGATTTTCTATTTAAACCCCACACTTCTCTTAGTTCACCCCATGTTCTAAGTTCACCCCATTTTTTAATTTAAATTTTCATAATTTCTAAGAAAACCCCACTGTATCCAATTTACTCATGTTTGCATGACATCCCTGGTTGCGCCATTTATAACATGAACTAACAGAAGGAGAACATATAACCAGGAGGAAAAACAAGGATAAAAATTAGGGTCCTAGATAAGTACTTCTAGATAAATTTTAGGGAAATAGCCACATTTTGGAAAGTTTCTATATCTTTCTCTGTGTAGGCATCTTCAACATTGACCAAGTTTCTTTGTTACTTTTGGTTGCTTTAGGGTTCATTCCTAGGTAGAAGAAACTAAGAGAGAGCTTCTGCCATAAATGGGAATCTCTACATCGAATCTGATATTTGAAGTAGATAAAACATTGTTTCACGATTACGTTGAGCACCTACATCCTAGGTTTCAACAATGTAGATGGACATGTAGGAACTCATTTTCAATACAAGCACAACAAAAGTTTGGGCTGTAGCTGGTGAGTTTGAAAAATTGATGTTCTATAGGAGCTCTATCTCGCCTAAAAAGAACTTAAATTGGGTAGACGAGTGTGATATGTCACTGTTGAGCTAGTTCATCTGAGGACCAAATTATGTTTAATGAAAAAGGTCAGCATGTTATATACTCTTTGTAAGCAGATTTCCTTTCGTATATACTTTTGCAAGTACTGATATGTCTTGAACTTCGATTTAACTTCAGATGAAACAGCTTGACTTACCCAACAATTAAAATGATCACAGAAAGGACCCACAAAATGCACTGATAGGTCTTGAACTTTGATTTAGCCTGAGATGATGCGTATCCTGGAGGACCATATCTTTGGTTAACCCACCCGAACTGGGGGCGGATAAGAAACACAAACCCGAGAAAAAAACCCGAAAGAAATCCTCCAATGTGAGCAAAGTTGTCAACGTGTGGGAGAATTCCCACTGCCAAATTGATTGCTATGACGATCAGGAGGGTGAAAAGTGCTCCAAACTGAACAATAATAAGGGAATTAGATATTGGATCCTGAATGTGACCGATTTAAAATTTTGAAGTATGATGAAGCTCCTTTAACAAGCAGTTTGACAATTACCTTACTAGCATATATTGTCCAATTAGTGATAAGTTCAGAAAGCATGGCTCCCAGCAACCCAAAAAGAGCACCAGAAGCACCAACAGAGATGTTTGTTTGGATGAAAAGCGAAGACAACAAACTCCCACCAAGTCCAGAGATGACATATAGCAACCCGATCCGGACTGCAAGAGAAACACACAAGAGTTGGACAAAGGGCATGAGCTAAAGTTTTGTATACTGACATGAACAAGGAAATAAGAAGAGCTATATCATCAAATAGATTTGGCTCAATCACAATGAAAAAGCCTAGCTTGTCTCATATACCCAAAGTTGCATTGTGAAAGAAGAACCATTTGCCTTTGAATGATGACAATGCTTTTAATCATCAGAAAGTTCTCTGAATTTGCAGACAAAATTTCATCACAACAATTAGATAGAAAACTGATTTTCAAAATACATACCGAAGCCAAATTCTTGCTCTAGCCGATACCCAATAACCAAAAGGCTCAACATATTTGCCAATAAATGGAAAACACCACCATGTAACCAATTGCAAGTGATGAGAAGCCACCCCTGGTGTCTGTGAACCACCTTATTTACATCTAAAGCCCCCATCTTCTGTAGCCTATAGCAATCAACATTCAGCAAAATACCCAATTATAAACCCATCAAATCACCAATTCATAAATAAAAAACACAAAACCAGCTAAGGGGTCAGCTGCAGCATTTGATATCAAAATTTACAGAACCAAATGAAAATCTGAAAACCAACAGGATCACCAAAAACTAAGAACTCACGCGGAAGATGATGGTCCAAGAAGAGGGTTCTCCTTAAACGGCTGAAAGGAGAACCTACCCAAGAACGTGGCAATGCAATTGATCGAGTTCTTGGGGCAGTTGTTGACATACATGGTGATGATGAACATAATAACATTGGCAACAACAAAAACAGGTATCAGCCAAACAACCCACTTCTTGAAATGCTTGACCTCTCGATACACATCAGGGGATGAAGCTGGAGCTGGAGAAGCTAGTGGAGGTGTCTCTATGTCCACTGGGTGCACCACGTTGTAGCTCCGCCTGGAGTTCACTCTCGTTTGGGTTCCTGAAGACGCAGGCTCTGCCGCCATTGAAGTGGGCAAAGAATCAAAGAATTGGGTTGAAAGCTAAAATTGATGAAGGTTTTTGATGCAGAGGATATGAATGTGAAGAAGGAGACGATGAAAAAGGTGAGAGCTTTAGGAGCACAAAGTCAGGAAATGGGGCTGCCTTTAGTCAACTTTCATCAGTTGAGAAGCTGTTGGCCTGAATTGAACTGCTCTACATCATTTTGCCGACACATACGTGGCGCCTACCCAATTCTTTAGCTTTAAGGCACTGTTCGTTTGGACTTTTGACGTCGCGTTGCAAAAATGGAAAAAATAAAATAAGAACAGATTAAACATTTTTTGAATGAGAAAATTGGATTTTGATTTCTGAATTTTTTTTTTAAAAAAAATAGCTTTTTTTTTGGGGTAAATATCACGAGATGTCCTCACATCCGAATAGTGAGATTAATCCCCGCTCAAAATTTAACTTGCCCCTAATCATAAAGTACTTCCAAAGAATTTCTTCCCGCTCAAAATTTAACTTGTCCCTAATCATAAAGTACTTCCAAAGAATTTCTTCCCGCTCAAAATTTAACTTGTCCCTAATCATAAAGTACTTCCAAAGAATTTCTTCCCGCTCAAAATTTAACTTGTCCCTAATCATAAAGTACTTCCAAAGAATTTCTTCCCGCTCAAAATTTAACTTGTCCCTAATCATAAAGTACTTCCAAAGAATTTCTTCCCGCTCAAAATTTAACTTGTCCCTAATCATAAAGTACTTCCAAAGAATTTCTTCCCGCTCAAAATTTAACTTGTCCCTAATCATAAAGTACTTCCAAAGAATTTCTTCCCGCTCAAAATTTAACTTGTCCCTAATCATAAAGTACTTCCAAAGAATTTCTTCCCGCTCAAAATTTAACTTGTCCCTAATCATAAAGTACTTCCAAAGAATTTCTTCCCGCTCAAAATTTAACTTGTCCCTAATCATAAAGTACTTCCAAAGAATTTCGAACTCCTGCAATTGAAGAATAAAATTGCATTTTGATCAAAAGCAAACATAGCCTTCTTCTTACTTTCATTTCGCTGTCGTATATGAAAATTATTGTTGCAGCTGTCCAGGTCAAAGTGATTGAATAATTCCATGCAAAAAAGTAATGATTGAATATTTAATCAATGCGTTGTATATGGAGAGCATGATTTTAATACGATTCTTTACTTTTGCTGTATCTAGTGTGAAAGTGTGACAGACGGTGATTAGAAAATTGAGTTTTTTTTTTCCCTCTCTATACTTTGTAATTGATTAGATAGAAAATCTTTATAATTAAACATTTTTTAGGATAAAAAAAATCATATCTCTCTATGTGTAACTGTTCTTTTGCCGCAAATGGGTTCCCACCACAATTATGGTGGCTTCCCCCTCCCCCGTGGCACTTAGGATCGAAACCTCAGGGTTGGGGTTTCGATCCTAAAACTTGTTGATTGTTTTTTATATCCATCCATTTTTTTGTCCCGTAACCTGCACATGTATGGACAATCAAAAAATTGACTTTGCTAAATTAATTTTTTCGATGTCCATCTATTTTATGCAATTGCTTGATGCCACAACGTAATTATAAAGTCTGCAGGCATGTGAATAACCCAATCGTGCTGCTACAAACATGTAAATTAAAATAACAATACACCTCTTTATTTATTTCAAGCAAATTCTTCATACATTTTCATTTAATCCACCGCTAATTATTACTTGATATTTTACTAATTTAATAGCATAATGGTTCAATTGCAAAATTACTAAATATACTAAATGTCTCAATCGGTCATTTGCTGCTCACCAACCGTTTGGAGAAAATACAATTAAAAGCAATAGGGAAGAAGAGGACATACATGTATTGCTTCAAATTGAGGTTTGAGTTTTGAGAAAGCATAAACCCAAGCAGAAGGAAGTGTGTGTTTTATATGAGCCACCAAACCAAAGCAACCCTAACAAATATTACAGGTGTTAGATGATGTCAGTGTTTCAGTTTAACCCAAAATTATACTAAGTGGGCCAACTTTGGGTCAACATTCAACATTAATCAATTTGAAGCCCGGCCCAATAAAGTTTTATATGTTTGCTCATCAATCCTAGCCCAAATTCAATCCAACTCTCCAGCCCAGCCCAATGCCGATGAATTAAATACAACTTGGAGATATTTAGTCATATACCAATTCTTAGCACTAATGATATAGATAAACCCTACACCATTTAATTTCTATAAACAAACCCAAAAAAAATCCAAAAAATGACAGCTGGTCCTATTCAATTTAATTTTTATTATTAAATTACTTTGATGCCGTATTGAATGTTTTGTGTTTTTTTTAATGAGGTTTTATGGTTTGGCTTGTTTAAAGAAATCGATGGAAGTTTTGTAATTTATAAGAAGTTAGAAGCCTCTTTATTATGTTGTAAATGAGTTTTGGGTGTGTTTCTAAAGTCCATTTAATATAGAGAGCTCCTATATTAGGTATAATAGTGAGTCTCCCTAAAACTTGATCATCCAAATGGTACGACAACAAAAATGGAGAACAACTAGAGAAGAGAGACAATCAAGAAAAATGGTACGAGAAAACAAACAATGCCTACTTGTGGAGAGGAAATTTCCTATCAATAAATATATGATTGTATATAAGTTTATTCATACCTAGTATTTTCTTATAGTTGTGAGATAGTACGATTTGTTTTTTTTTTTTTTTTTTGATACATTCTTTCTCTCTTTCTTTCTTTCTTT